TGATGCTTATCTGTTTCCCTCTGCTATTGGTGCTCAACTGGAGGGATAGCATGGGTGCTAGCCCAACAGGAACATTTAGGGGCAGTCCAACACATTCTGAGTCATCTTCAAGCCTCTTCTGACAGAGTGGTTGCTCCGACGTTTGTCATGGCAAACATCGGTGATTCATGCATGCATACTCCTGCGGCGATTCATGCATGCATACTCATTCAGTGATTCATGCATGCATACTCCTTCGGTGATTCATGCATGCATACTCCTTCGGTGATTCATGCATGCGTCTTGTATACTCCTTCAGTGATGTATGCATGCGTCTTGTATACTCCTTCAGTGATGTATGCATGCGTCTTGTATACACCTTCGGAGCTTTCGGTGTATACAAGTGAATTGAAGAATTGTTGGGAGTTGTGAGTTTGCCATGGTGGTGATTCATGCACGCGTGCATGAATCATGTGTCTACGACACGAGGCTTGTCGTGTTGCATGGTCACTCGTCTACGGGGCGGATGGATATATGCATGGAATTCTCCCTTTGGAAAGCAATGGTAAAATAGGTTTTGACCTGGAAAATCTAGGAAAAGGCTATCCACCGCTTTTAATCCTGTTTGCATGTAACTCGCTTGTAAGCCGTAACCGGATGGTATGTTCTTGGGATTTTTGTGGTTCATGTGGCGCAGGAAGCTTGGCAAGAAGAAATACACAATGGGACGGACCACCAACCATCCGGTCAATGGTGCCACGTAAATAATTTAAGTGCCAATTTGCGAGACACATTCTTTTCCTATCCATGATGGTTTCTTCTGAAGAAAGGAAGAAGGAAACAACGAAGGGAATCAGGCCAAGAATGACCCTTTGCACAACTTGGAAGTTGTTCAAATGTTCATATTGATGACAAGAGGAGGAAGGCAGGCACCACACAGGACTGGACGAGGTGAGATGTGGTGACGACCCGCAAAATTGACAGTTAAGACCTGATTAGTACATACATACATACAGTGGCAACGAGGCCCATGCACTCTCTTGCATGCCATTGCCTCTCAGCCTGTTTCCTTAGCTATGATGAATGTTGAGTATTCCATTGCCTCACTTCTCTGTTGAGAATGAGGCTTGTACTTATGCAGAGGTGTTGTACCTGTGGATGGTGGGATGGGATGGGATGGGATGGGAAGGGATGGGATGGAGGCCAGGGAAAGATGAGTCAGGCAATGGGTTGACATGTGCTGTAGGACAGCGAAACAGTAGGAAGAGGCGCGATGGTCAGCGAATGGGGTTTGCGCAGGATGGCTTCTCGATGGCCGGCCGGTAGTCAGTTATCCGATGCTGCATCCCCTCCATTCCTCTTCTGTCGGCGAGGAATTCCGTCGGCTTGGCATGTCTGCTGAGTATTTTGCCGTAAGGGGGTTCTATATTCCTGTAGAAGTGCATCTCCAGTAGGATAGAACCGCTGGTGCATGGTACACGGGTGGGATGTCCTGGGAACACAGTGAGCGTCCCTCCCTTCCATATCATGACAGCAATCTTGCACTCCCGGCAGTCATTGCTGTCACTATGGCTGGCGGCACATTTCCAATTTTCCATCCTCCAGCATGTTTTCGTCCTTGTGTATTTTCACCCTGGCCTTGCATACCGTATCTGCTATGCATGCTCATCGCCTACTTCATGCCAGAGTTTTCGGAGGCTTGTGGATGAAGTGTTGGCAGCTTGGGGGG